TCCGTGTTCCAGGCGGAACTGGTGGCCCTGGAGGGGGCGTCCCAGTGGATCCTACTACATCCGGGTCCAGAGCCGGTCACGGTTTACTCAGATAGCCAGTCGTCGTTACAGGCTTTAAGCGACGGGTACCATCGTGACCCATTGGTACACGAGATCAGAGGTAGGGTACTGAGGGCGAGGCACGAACGACACGTTGCCCTGCGGTGGGTAAGAGGCCACACCGGTGTCCTGGGCAACGAACGGGCCGATCAGCTGGCAAAGGCGGGAGCCAGTGGCCCATTTGTTACGAGGATGGTAGATCCCTCGACTACATACATAAAAGGTACTCTACTGCAGAGATCGATGATAAGCTGGCGAGAGCGCTGGACTCTAAGTACAGTAGGTAGGTCAACCTACGCCTTCGTGCCTGTAGTTGGCCTCACTCCGATAAGTTGTTGCTCGTTGTCGACTCAAATCTTAACTGGCCACGGGAGGTTCCCCCACTTCAAGTCCAAATTCGGACAAGGAGATGGTAGCTGCCCCTGTGGTAGTCCTCGCGGCGACGCGAGGCATTACGTACTTGACTGTCCCTTAACAAGGGACTTCCGCCTAGGGACAGACCAAGTTGACTGGTCTAAGCCCCCTGAACAAGTACTTCGAACGCTAGCAGCTAGTAAAGGGAACCTTAAGAAACTAAAGGAATTGATAGGAAAAATCATAGATCTTTTTGATCTATAGGTTTGTAAGGCTTATTTGGGCCCCTCCCTTCGGGGTAAGGGCCCCGCTGTCCGTATACCTACTATATGTAGGTATAAGTTTGAGTTATTTGTATATGTGTGAGCTGGAACAGGTTTAGTAGTGTGGACCAAAAGGGCAGTACAGGCTGCACAAACAAAAGTTATGCCAAGTTAGTGAGCTGGGCCGGGGTGCGGACGGGAGCCCGAATGATGCATCATAGGCCCAGCTATGACGTCCCTGTCTACCGCGTCAGGTACCGACCAATCGATGAACAAGGCATAGTCTCTTTAAACCCTGTAGTGCCACTAGGCGGGGCAGGGAAAGAGTTCCTTATGAGATTGGATGACCATATGTGTCTGCTCTGCCGTTCGGTTCTGTGTTATAAATTCATGATAGGTCCGAGGGGTATTTTGTTGACAGGACCAATTGTGCCTGAGTTGGTTCAAGTACTGGCGCCACACTGTAGTGTGAATGTATCTGGGCGAGACTGGTGGGCTAGGAATGCCCGGAGGGAGCACCATCATAAGAATCAGAGCATCTTGAGCGCTCTTGAGTGTGTTGCTCGATGGGCTTCATGTTGCCAACCCCATCAAATCTGCAGTTCAAAATGTGAGATTTATCGCTGAGGTCCTGTTCGGTGGAAAGTGTGTTGGGGCCCCTGAGTTCCAACAGCACCGATCTGCTGTAAGGAGCCATTGGAATAGACTTCGGCCTGCTGTGTTCGGGCAATAACAGTCATTGTCTCAGTATGGATGGTAGGATTCCAGTCTCCGCCTAGGATGCGTGGCTGATGATGGTCACTGATGAATGTGTCCAGTGGGGTCCTCTAAAGGCAATTCGGTGGACTGTAAATGTTGATGGAAATCAGGAGGTTGGTGACATAAATGTGCCCTTCTAAGTATGCCATGTCCGGGCTTGTTGAGTAGGACTCCTTCCGACTTGCTGGCCAGCGATTCGCCACCACTGTAAGTAGACCACCTCCTTGTGTAGTATGGCGATCGAGTCGGAATATTGTGAAACAGGGTAATGTTAAACAGGCGTCTGGAGCCAGCCAAGTTTCCTGTAAAAATACGACATCTGTGGTTCGCCACCATCCTGTTGCCATAAGTAATTCCATGTAATTCCATTTTGGATCTTAATTCTCATATGTTCCATTGAACGACGCGGAGATAACAAGGATCTGAATTGATGTTAGGCATGTGGAGAGTTTTGTTGGTGGGTGCCGATGTAGCTTTACGACCTCTGCAGAGGTGAGAGGGCGAAGATCTTCGTTTGAAGCTGTTCTTGTGCTCAGGACAGGACGGCAGTCCATGTCGGACGTGAGACTGTCCGTGTGAGAAGTAGTCGGCTCCAATGTCGGCCGAGATCTTGAGCTTCGTTTCTTTATCTTAGGGACCTTCTGGGCAAGACAGACGTTTGGGCGCTAGAGGCACAGGCATGATCACCTCTGAGTCGGACGGGTGGTCAGTTATGCTGGCGGTTAGGATTGGCCTGGCAAATCTGAGGTCCAGGGCCTTGTGCAGTTGGCAGATGTCTGCCCATAGGGCTGCTGTCTCTAGGAGTGAGACACAGTCGGCGAGGGCTATGAGGTCTGTGGAACGACCCATCTTTGCTGGGGTTGGAGCTAGCAATGAGCTAGCCTTCGGTTGCAGGTCCTCTGAGGGAGCCCTGGTCTGGGGAGGTCGGTGCCACCTGAGCATATGTTTATGAAGAGGTTGTACTAAACGTTTTGTCTCTGTAAGAACACCAATGGAGCATACTGAGTTTTAATAGGCGTGCCTCCTACATGTAGGCCGGGAAGTTGGTGGAGTCAGCCTGATCGTCCCCCCACATCAGACACATCCCTATCCTGCGGAAGTGCAGTCTTCCATGGTGTTATCGTCACCACAGTGAAGGCACCGGCAACGGCCGTGACACGATGCCGGCAAGTGGCCAAAGGCGAGGCATCAGGAACATAACCACGAGCAGGGAATAAATCGGTCACGACAGAACCGTTGGAAGTATATTGTTATACAGTCTACTTGTTGAGTTCCGGCCACTGAAAAATAAATGTTTGGGCTCGGGATGACCAGTCTTTTCGGGTGAAGTGGCGGACCTCTATAACTGGGAGGTGCTGAGCCATCAGGTGTTTGGACACTTTGTGCACGGTGATGGATGTGTCCACCCCTTGGAGAAGGTACGCCGTCTGGGCGCAGTCGGTGCTAGCCGGCCACGAATGTTGTGGCGTTCGAGAGAAGCTATGCATACGCGGTCTGGTAGTCCAGGGTTTTTAGGATTAAAAATCTTCCACGTGAGTACCAGATATCCAGTAATCGGTCCGGGGACTGAAAGTGCTGATGAAGAGAGCAGTATAATGCTGCTGGTGGAAGTCAAGGTAGGGGTGATTGCCCCTCAAGGAAGACCGTATAAAGGTGGTGCGAGGGAAGACTCAGTTTACTATGCTGGAGTTTCTCCTCCTCCGAAAGCGGGGAGAACACTCGCATCTCGTCTGGGCGAGGACGCGACGCGGCAGCAGAGGAAGTGTGTCGCCCAGTTCCAGTGGAGTCCGCTTTAAGGGCCACACTCAGGCAAAACAGTAGACTGACGTCCATTAAGTCCGGACGCCGCGAGGCAAAGCTAAGCAAAATAGTCCAACCTCAAAGAAAACTGATGGAACAGGAAAACGCAGACAGCGAAAGGTCATCGACGCAGGCAGAAAAAAGTGGTGGCAAACTCCGTAGAGAACCTAGCACTGAGCAAGATACCGGAAGAAGTCACGCACACACTAGAAACCTCTCGAACAAAACTAAGCTTACTTTCAAATGTATTCCTAATTTCTACTTGCACAAATACAGCAACTGCAACTGCGATTCGTCAAGACTCGATCCCCAAGCTTTCGCGCGGATGATCCAAGACGGCGGTTTTCTTTCCAAATTATTCTGTTTTCAGACCTCTTGAATCCAAAAAACGTTAAAAAAAATTTGTATGTGTTGACTTCTATTTCACTTAACCCAGGTTGTCGTCTTTACTGTCTCGATATAAAATTTAATTAATTAATAGTAATAACAACAAAATCAAAGCTAACGGAAATCTTCGTTTTATATCTGTATAAAGCGTTCAAAATAGAAATAACATGCAGAACTTCTTTCGTTATTCATTTGATTAATTTTACTATTTAATAATTGGTTTTCGGGAAAAAACTCGCTAAAAATTAATGTCCTCATTTTTTTAAAACTTAATTCCAAAAGACAACCTTGTTCCTTCGTAACTCTAGTGGATCAAGAAGTCAATGAGCTCCAAAAAATGTAATTAACTTTTATTTGACTTTTTATTTCACTGTACAGTATTTGTAATTTGCATTGTATTGTATTTGTTCTTGCTTTGTATCGATATAGAAAGGAATCGGCAAATTAAACGTAATTTTGGAGAGGAATCGAAAAGCAAAAGAAAAAAAAATCCAGCTACGAGTTGTTTAACTTTCCTGGGAACATTTAGTGTCACCATCTGTTATCATATTTTTAAAATTTTTATATATTTAACTACTGTATTATAAAATGGCAAACAGATTAATTTTGAGGGTAGGGATCGGTTTTATAAAAAAATTGTTAAGGGCGTCATGTGTATCTCCAGTAGGGTCGGACTCAATGACGATTTTACTCGTTATTAGCATTTATCTTCCCACCGCTAGACCTCTAATCACCAAAATCTAAAAGACTTTAATCATCTATCCCCTAATAAACAAACCTCCATGCAATATTTTTGATAAAAAGCACAGAAGTTATTAAGCTTCAAACAGGGCGAGCAAAACTGTACCTCCCACTTTCACACATACAGAAAACCCGAACTTTTTCGCGTTTCTCGATGTTTCAAGGTGTCCTGAAGTCCAAAACTGTAAAATCTTAAGGGATCATTTTTTGACCAGTCGCCATACTTTCCCTCATATATAACAGCCGGAAAAGTAAGATTAAAAAAAAGAAGAAAATGATTTATAGTTTCATTTTCTTCTTTCTCACTACTGGGATCCAGAATGTGTTTAATGTGCAAATTGTCTTCTGTTTACAATGTAATTTCAATATTATAGAAGTTTGTTATATTTAATCCAAGCAACCTCATATGTTAAGAGATACTTTTGCAATTTCGAAGACATTTGGTATTTCTTTCATAATAATCTATTAAAATTTTTCAGTAATAAAATTATTTATCATCAAATCTATTATAATAATTTGATTATTAAAATATTTCTTCTAATTGAAATGGCGATTTTTGGGCTATTTTTCTGTTAGATTCACTGTATTTTGATCTGGCAACACGAAGTCTGCCATTTTCTGTTCATTCACTCCTGAAAGTGCATAGTTCTCGGAAGAGCTTAGGCCGGTTGGCGACGTGCACTTAATTATTTTATCAAAGTACCGATATAATTTATCACAAGAACTTAACACCATGAGTTCCAACGACGAATTAGCCTGCATCTACAGTTCGTTGATTCTCCAAGATGATGATATTACAATTACTGTAAGTAACATGCATTTGATTAAGCCTAACTGATCCACGTGGACTAGGACTACAAATTGAAACAATGTATTCGATTCGAGTTTCGATCGATTCTTTGAAAAATATGATGCTGTGTTGTTTTATTAGTTATTGGACGTCAGTAAGAAGTTTATCGTTTCTAAACTTTGAAATTTAAGTCGGTTGCGATTGTTCATTGATTCACGGGTCACGTGCTATTTTTATTTTTGCAATCAATTACTGTGATTTTACTCGCCTTTTGGTTGAAATCTAGGACCGAATAACGCGATTGGGACTTTAACAGAGCTGTAGAGCATATCGATAGGAACAAAAAAGTCAAAGGAACCATGCCCGTACGGGCGACTCTTCGCGAGATAAAGGCCCCTCAAAATGACTGTGTGTTTGAGACCTTCAAAAATGGGGTAAAATTTAAAAGTGAAAATTTTCAGAACTAAATCACGAAACCGCGTTTTATACGATTTCTGTTAGAACTTACTAGAGACTGGAGAGAGTTCTCGAAGAACTGGAAACGAAATCATATTCAATAAATATCCTGTATATAACCTAAAACACAAAAGTATAAAATAAAAATTCTGGTTGTTCGAATAATTTTTGGTTATCATTTATGAATAACCGGCATTTTTTTACTTTATTGGAGTAATATTATAAAAGCAGTATAGTATTGCTTTTTCTCTCAATTTATTTTTAAAGACATATGATTGCCATTTGCAAAAAGCAAAATTTAGTGCTGACCCATATAAAAAAATCCAGCAATGAGTCGCTTAACTTTCCCACCACCATTTAAAACTACATGTGTGGCACCATCTGTTGGGATATTATTAAAAACTTTTTATATTTTTAACTATTATAGAATGGCAAAAAGCTTGGCATTTAGAATTTTTATAAAACCCGTTTTATAAAAAATTGTAAATGCTAATAATGAATAAAGTCAGCCCTACTTGGGATACACACGACCCCTTTATCTCCCTGCCCCTTTGTCCCTTAATTACCAAAATTTAATAGCATCGATCCTCCTAATAAACAAATCTCCTTGCAAAATTTCAGAAAATTTCAACAAAAGCATAGGAGTTAAGCTTCAAGCAGGATGAACAAAATCATGCCCCCCACAGTAAAAACCCAAATTTTTGTGCATTTCTCAACATTTCAAGGTACCAAGTCCATAATGAAAAATCTGAGGGAGGGTCATTTTTTGACTGATTGTCATATTTTTCCTCTTAAGTATAACAGAGCCGGGAAAGTAAAAAACAGTGCAAATAAAAATATCATTGGACTACTTACTGATTGCACCATTCAGGCTGCTGTTGCTTAAGCTTGTTTCTGTTATGGAGTATCATATTGGATGGTGAATGAATACTAAACTTGTCATTCAGTCATGTGACAACTGAGATGTCACTTTCCTTAGCCACGTGACATTTCCAATGTTTCCTGTCAACTTGTTGTTGCAGAAGAACTCAATTCTTTTGCCTTGTACAGGACTTTGGAGGCATCACATGCTAGAGGTAGTGATGTCATATTTCCTTTTGTGACTGCTTAGTCAGTGGACCATAGTTTGATAAACATTGAATTAGGTATGTTCTGATAAAACCATAACATTCTACAGTATCACCAAATAAATTATAATCTGAATTTTTAAATAATTTATTTAGGATTATAAGCATTTAAGCTTTTTATTATGTATATGCATATTTGCAAATTTAGATAATTTAATTACAGTATTCTTTTATATAAATAGATAAGTGTTGAATTATTATATAGAAGTACAAGGACTATCTAGAAAGTAACTTCTGTTTCCATGTGCTGCTGGTGAAAGTGAAATCTGTTATAATGTTACTATTTTTGTCTTTGTATTTTGAGTTAATTTTTGCTGGTTTAAGGTATTGGTCTTCATTTACAAAAGTAGTGAAGATACTCTACACTGTTGCCAAACTTTGTGCTTTGAGTCAGTATACATCCAGCTGTGACAGAGTGCAGGCCATGCTTTCCATTGTCTGCCACAACTGCTGTTGAAAATTTGTGCTGTCATTCAGAATTCTGCCAGCCGTGGGGTATACTCAATGATAGGTGTCTGTTAGTCAAAAACTGTAAAGTTGGAATCCATCATTATCAGTGCAAAGTTTATGGCGTGAACATAATGAGTGGGATGGAGTGAGATGGTTGAGCATTATGCTCATAAATGGAGAGAGAGATTTTCATGATGAGCAGAGAAGCAACCGGCCATCTGTGGTACCTGATGTACAGAAGACTGATGAAAACATTGGAATTGTAGAGTCACAATTTTAGAACTTCTAGTGATTTTCTGCAGGCTAGCATCACTGCTTTGACAACAATGGGGAGGAGTTGCAACCAAACAACCAGATGTGGCAGAATTCTATGACAATGCCATAGCATATTACAAGTTTTTGTGTTCCAAGTGTTTAAATTTAGTTTCACTATTTTTTATCATATTTTTAAGATGTATATAATAATCTTTCTTTCACTTTACCGATGTTTTTTAATGATCAAACAGAAGTTACTTTCCAAATATCCTACAGAATTTTTATTTGATAAGAACAAATAGTAATTTATTAATCATTTTCTTAATATTTTTATTTCAAAGATGTGAAAATGTTTTTATTATGAAATATATAAATATTTTTTGTTTTAAACAGGCTGAGAAGATTTGCACTTTGCTGAAAGCAGCTAATGTTGATGTTGAATCATATTGGCCAGGTATTGAAAAAATAACTATTTTATGAATTAACTATTTTGTAGTTATTTTTAATATATTTGTTTGAATTTATTTCTGATAAATATTTAAAGAAAAGGTTAAATCGTGAAGGTAGGCTAATATATACATTCATTTTTTTCCCAAACTGAAGAATAGTATGTCTTAGGTCAGGTTTTAAAGATGAACAAGAATAATGTTATTGTTACTCATATTCACTGGATATTTTGATCATAGACATGCAACTACACAACCTCAGCTCTCATATAAAATACACATGGTATCTGAAATCATCATTTTGATTGCTCAAGTATACTAACTGAAAGTTATTTAACTTTCAGTATGTATACTTGAGTGACTTTATAAATTTCAAGCTGCCAGTTTTTTCACAATGAGCTTAACTATCTCTCATGAATTTCATTTGAAACAACTACAATGTAGATAATATGTACCAAGTATTACTTTATGACAAATGAATTATTAACAGGACTTTACAAATGTAACATTAATTTATATTGTTTTTCAAAAAAGATTTTATTTACTTATTTTAAAAAGATTCATTTCATACAGTATATCAATATAAAACATTGTCTTAAAGAGAAAGTATTAATTCTTAGCACTTCATGCATATATTTATAGTTGTTTGCTTTGAAATATAATGAACCAGAAAACAATTATTTTGGAATATGAAAGTTGTTTTTCATACTCATACTGATGATATAAAATATTCTGTTCTTTCATTTGTTTAGTATAAATAATAGAAATTCATGTCAGACATGGAGAAAATTATTATGGAGAAAATTATTGGTTATGCAGGGGGAAAGTTTATACTTTGTATTTTAGTTTTATGACGACCATCATAGTTAATAATTAAAAGCAACAAATTGATAAATCACATGTTAATAGTAATGATTATTAGATATTATTTTGCAGTAGTAATATTCACTTTCTAAATGGTAAATTTTCATAAAAATAATAATTGATAAAGTGAAAATAGGTTAATGTTATCCTATTTTTACTAGTGCTCAGATTACAACAGCTCTCTGATAGTGTCAATTTCCATTTCTATGATGTCTGACATGAAGTCTACAGTGATTCCTTATTAGTTTTTGAAGTAATATAGTAGTAAGTTTTTCTGTAGTCAAAGAAATTCCATCATTCAGTATATCCTACATGGGGTTTATTATAGGTATTCCATTACTGCTGTTATTTTTCAGTTCATCTGCTGATTTCATTTATCTTCCTATTAAATTAAGTAATATTTCTAGGATATTCTACCTGAGTGAACAAAGATTTTCTGTAAAATGCAAATAATGAAAGATTAAGTAAGTCATTTTAAAAAGATTCAAGGTGTCCAAAACATTTACAAATTTTATCCTTCTGATCATTTTTAATAATTTAAGTTTATTGTGATTCAATCCAATAAACTATGAAAACATTTCATTATAGTTTTTGAATTGTTAAATAAGATTAAACAGAGATTATTCATTTTTAGAAGTTAATTTAACTGTTGTTATTGTTAGTAGAAATATTGACTTCTTTCCATGTGCTGCTGGTGAAAGTGAAATCTGTTATAATGTTACTATTTTTGTCTTTGTATTTTGAGTTAATTTTTGCTGGTTTAAGGTATTGGTCTTCATTTACAAAAGTAGTGAAGATACTCTACACTGTTGCCAAACTTTGTGCTTTGAGTCAGTATACATCCAGCTGTGACAGAGTGCAGGCCATGCTTTCCATTGTCTGCCACAACTGCTGTTGAAAATTTGTGCTGTCATTCAGAATTCTGCCAGCCGTGGGGTATACTCAATGATAGGTGTCTGTTAGTCAAAAACTGTAAAGTTGGAATCCATCATTATCAGTGCAAAGTTTATGGCGTGAACATAATGAGTGGGATGGAGTGAGATGGTTGAGCATTATGCTCATAAATGGAGAGAGAGATTTTCATGATGAGCAGAGAAGCAACCGGCCATCTGTGGTACCTGATGTACAGAAGACTGATGAAAACATTGGAATTGTAGAGTCACAATTTTAGAACTTCTAGTGATTTTCTGCAGGCTAGCATCACTGCTTTGACAACAATGGGGAGGAGTTGCAACCAAACAACCAGATGTGGCAGAATTCTATGACAATGCCATAGCATATTACAAGTTTTTGTGTTCCAAGTGTTTAAATTTAGTTTCACTATTTTTTATCATATTTTTAAGATGTATATAATAATCTTTCTTTCACTTTACCGATGTTTTTTAATGATCAAACAGAAGTTACTTTCCAAATATCCTACAGAATTTTTATTTGATAAGAACAAATAGTAATTTATTAATCATTTTCTTAATATTTTTATTTCAAAGATGTGAAAATGTTTTTATTATGAAATATATAAATATTTTTTGTTTTAAACAGGCTGAGAAGATTTGCACTTTGCTGAAAGCAGCTAATGTTGATGTTGAATCATATTGGCCAGGTATTGAAAAAATAACTATTTTATGAATTAACTATTTTGTAGTTATTTTTAATATATTTGTTTGAATTTATTTCTGATAAATATTTAAAGAAAAGGTTAAATCGTGAAGGTAGGCTAATATATACATTCATTTTTTTCCCAAACTGAAGAATAGTATGTCTTAGGTCAGGTTTTAAAGATGAACAAGAATAATGTTATTGTTACTCATATTCACTGGATATTTTGATCATAGACATGCAACTACACAACCTCAGCTCTCATATAAAATACACATGGTATCTGAAATCATCATTTTGATTGCTCAAGTATACTAACTGAAAGTTATTTAACTTTCAGTATGTATACTTGAGTGACTTTATAAATTTCAAGCTGCCAGTTTTTTCACAATGAGCTTAACTATCTCTCATGAATTTCATTTGAAACAACTACAATGTAGATAATATGTACCAAGTATTACTTTATGACAAATGAATTATTAACAGGACTTTACAAATGTAACATTAATTTATATTGTTTTTCAAAAAAGATTTTATTTACTTATTTTAAAAAGATTCATTTCATACAGTATATCAATATAAAACATTGTCTTAAAGAGAAAGTATTAATTCTTAGCACTTCATGCATATATTTATAGTTGTTTGCTTTGAAATATAATGAACCAGAAAACAATTATTTTGGAATATGAAAGTTGTTTTTCATACTCATACTGATGATATAAAATATTCTGTTCTTTCATTTGTGTAGTATAAATAATAGAAATTCATGTCAGACATGGAGAAAATTATTATGGAGAAAATTATTGGTTATGCAGGGGGAAAGTTTATACTTTGTATTTTAGTTTTATGACGACCATCATAGTTAATAATTAAAAGCAACAAATTGATAAATCACATGTTAATAGTAATGATTATTAGATATTATTTTGCAGTAGTAATATTCACTTTCTAAATGGTAAATTTTCATAAAAATAATAATTGATAAAGTGAAAATAGGTTAATGTTATCCTATTTTTACTAGTGCTCAGATTACAACAGCTCTCTGATAGTGTCAATTTCCATTTCTATGATGTCTGACATGAAGTCTACAGTGATTCCTTATTAGTTTTTGAAGTAATATAGTAGTAAGTTTTTCTGTAGTCAAAGAAATTCCATCATTCAGTATATCCTACATGGGGTTTATTATAGGTATTCCATTACTGCTGTTATTTTTCAGTTCATCTGCTGATTTCATTTATCTTCCTATTAAATTAAGTAATATTTCTAGGATATTCTACCTGAGTGAACAAAGATTTTCTGTAAAATGCAAATAATGAAAGATTAAGTAAGTCATTTTAAAAAGATTCAAGGTGTCCAAAACATTTACAAATTTTATCCTTCTGATCATTTTTAATAATTTAAGTTTATTGTGATTCAATCCAATAAACTATGAAAACATTTCATTATAGTTTTTGAATTGTTAAATAAGATTAAACAGAGATTATTCATTTTTAGAAGTTAATTTAACTGTTATTGTTAGTTGTAAACAAAAAAATTTTTGAAATTTTACTTTCAGTAAACTTTTATCATACTTCTACAATTAAAATAATTTTTCATGTAGGCTTATTTGCAAGAGCATTGGACGGAATAAATGTAAAACAATTGATTACTAATGTTGGGGCAGCAGGAAGTGCCCCTGCAGCATCCTCTGCTGCTCCTGGTGCACCTACTGCTGCTAGTGCTGAAGAAAAGGAAGGTAATACATTTTTAATTGCAAATTTTAAAAAATTGTCTTACATTAGATGCAAAAAAACTCAGATAAATTGTATGAAGCAAATTTAAAATTTTCCTTCCCTTTACTAACCTTTAACATGCAGTCTATTTTATTAATGTAATCTAATGTTTTCAATCAAATTAATAATAATAAAGAAATAGATGATATAACTGGCTTCTACTAATGAGAAAGCATTTAAAGTTAAAACGTTCTATGATTGGTTTCATTCATCATAAATCAAAGAAATTGTTTCTTCGTTCCTGACAAAGGTCAATTAATTTGATTGAAAATGTTAGATTACGTTAATAAAATAGTTAGTAGGTTAAAGGTTAGTACTATTTTTTAGTAAGTGCAGTTTGAGAAGAGTTTAAAATTTTCTTTATTTGATAACAATAAAATAACACTTAACCTTTATTTTAAAATAATATTGATATTCAATTATTAAATTTTTAGAACCTAAGAAAGAAGAACCTTCTGATGCTGAAAGTGACGATGACATGGGTTTTGGTAAGACATTATAGCATGTTTGATTTATTAAATAAGTATTTTTTCAGTGAAAATAACTAGTAGTAATTTTTATATTTATTTAATTTTTAGGTCTTTTTGATTGAAGACTATACTCTTGTATTTGATAAAAGGGTCCAATAAAATTATTTAGGAAAAAAATGACTTAACTCATTTTATTTGTAAGAATTCAATATGACATTGGCCTAATTAAAATTTTCTTAAATAGCATGACACACTACTAATTTAAAGATATTCCATGATTTAATTAAGAATTTAAAGAACATCATATATATTCTAATGATTAAGCAGCAGTTTTGATCTGTACTCAATCAAAATCAGAATATTATTGATTCAAATTTTTCAGTTGTAACCATAAAAACTTCCATGTTATTTTCAGATAATTGACACCAAAAACTTCTGTGCAGTTTATTACTTACAGGTAGTATCAGAAACATCTTAGAAGCCAAGCAATCAGTACATATAATGGTCTTTATTTTGTCCTCTGATAGATGCCAGTGACTCAATTTCATATAATTTGTAAAGATTGCTTGAAACAAAAATAAAATTTTAAAAAGTTTCACAAAAAATGTGCCACTTTAGTGGTGGCAGTGCAAGTGTTAAGAAGTTATTACACTTATGCAGATGGGCCTTAATTAAAAATTGTATAGAGAAAAACAATTACCTGCTCATATCAAAGTGGATTCTGAAAGATGAGAAGTACTACAGATAATCCAAATAAACCTGATAATGGGGGGAAAAAGCTTTTGGTTAAAATAGCATTAAATATTAATTGCCAAATAAAAAGATAACTAATACTTTTCATAGTGTGAGATGTGAACCACTCCTGTGATTAATTAAAAATTTAATTGGAAAAAGTAAAATTTTAGACGAAAAAATTCGTTGATTTTGGTGGGAAAATTATATTTTCTAAACCAAAGGAAACTGGTAAAAGTAACTTCCTTCAATGGAAGTTGAAACACCCTTTTGTTTTCCCTTATCTCATAAAAATCTTAATTACCCTGGGAACTGTCAACCCCTCAGTAAAACCCCTTTTTCCTGTTCACGTGGAAAAATACAAATTGATGATTGGTGAAAATTTGTGAGAAAGAGGAAGAATTTAGCATCATTTGAGGAGTATGGCAGAAGACCCAAAAGAGGACAGACGTATTCCATACCATCTGAAGGCCAACGCCCAAAAACCGAATCCTGAAGTCTCCTAAAAGAATTACTAAGTCGGTAATTACATTGAAGAAAATGTTAATGAAGAATTGATAAAGACATTCCTCCAGAACCAAAGATGCAAGAAGACAAAAGACGCATGATATGAGGTAGTATGATTTTTTAACAGAAATTGTGAGCTCTCTCTTTCGAAACTAGCTTTATTCGAATATTCAAAGTTGTATGATTTTGTTTCATTAAATATTTGGTTTTATTTTGTTAAAAAGAATCTCTCTTAAATATCTGGATCAAATATATTTCATCTCTTCCATGATTCAATACGCGTATTAATCCGCGTACAATAAATCTAACTAGTGTCGGGAATCCTGATGGAAGGAAAAGGGTGATTATGCGATCATCTAATTCTGCTTTAAATTAACATTCAAATTGTAAACGAACTTATTAGTTAAAGCCCTCCACCCTCGATTTCTTCGGACAGAAAAACCATCCTTGTAAGACAGAGGGCTATTCTCAAGGAATAGCTGCCAAGTAAGTAATACAAGAGTCTTAACTACAGTAGAGCCTCGATTATCCGACCCCCGATTAACCGTCACCTCGGTTAACCGACCGCATTCTAGTCGGCAAATTCAAATGTCCGCTAGTGATGTGGTGCTAAAATATTTGGCTATGTCTTGGCTACTTTAATATTATTTTTACATGTTTTAGCTGGCAATACTCATTCGACCATGAAAGGGAGCCAGTATTTAAATGAGGCTTAATTTTCTAATTTTTAACGATACAATAGCCACGATTATTATTTTAAAACATTTTTGTTAGGCTTAACATCGATGAAAATTCAACGCAAAGTAGGTTAATAGCAATATACTAATTACATGGGATATAATAATATACTACACTAATAATGGATTTTTTCATACTTTTCGGTTATCCGACCGACCCCAGTCCCCAATTGAGTCGGATAATCGAGGCTCTACTGTACTCCGTATCTCCGGCTAGCCCCTCACAATAATGTAGCTTCAGGTATTCAAAATATGGATATCAAACATTACATCTTATAATTTCTTAACAAAATTTAAAGGACTGTTTATAAAAAAAATAAAATACTGTGTATTTTGAGAAAACTAAAAATGTAATGTTTAATGGTCAGTTATTATTCTGACCAAAATAAATATAATACAGTAGTCACCACTGAACTTAGACCAGGCTGCAGTTAACATGTCATCCAATAAATAGGTTTAAAAAAGTAGCTTTGATTCATTGCATGAATGTTTTACATTAATTACTGTACAGTAATACCCCAAACTTGATAGTGATAGTTAGGACCGATCAATAACTGCGTAAGTCGGGGTATAATTTTGCAATTTGTGTAAAATCCAAGTCAGATGTAAGCAAGCTAATAAATGTTCTCGTTAATCTTATCTTGTCTTTTGATTCGTTCATGGTTACAAGAAATCACCACATAGTCTCTCAAGTCTCCGTAGATATAACAAACACAAATATATAACACAAAATAAATTGTAGCTATGCGTTGATTCCGCGTGACACCTCCGAACATGTAAGCTGAACAATAGTGTGAGGGGAGTGAGTAATCAAGAGTTGCATGGTGCTCAAACAAAAGACAAATCGATGAGATTTGAAAATCGCATAACTCTGGGTTCATGTAAGTCGAGGTATTACTGTGTATTTGTTCTAAATTATCTTTATTTTTGCTAAATATCAATTTGATATCGTGCAGGTTTAACAAGATTGAGCCAGTCAAACTTGAGTCACAGGCATCAAAAAACATAGATCACTGTATCACCCCCATCAATGAACGTAGACCACTGCATGTTTAATATTTTGTTGCGTCACCTTTGTGGCCAAAACACCATCCATATGTTTCAGCATGCTGTTAACTAGGTGTTCACATTCATCTGTCGTTACGGAATTCCTGACAGTTCAGACGGAAGCTTTTAGTCCTTCAACTGTCTGAAAGTGTGTTTTTCACAGATATCTATTCATAATTTTCCGTACATTCTCAATTGATGAAAGATCTGAGCTGTTGGGTGGCCAAGGAAGAACTTCTATGTTCTTTTCTGCAAGCCACTGTTTTGTTTTTCTGCTTGTATGACATGTGGCCCCATCCTGCTGGAAAATGCAGGTTCTGTTTGGGTATAGCTTTGCTATGAACATACTGTTGTAAATACTGTTATAGAATGTTAATGTATTGCTCTGAAGTAAGTGTTCTATCAACAAATGTCAACTGACCACAAACACGGGTGCTCATACATCCCCAAACCATGAAGCTGGCAGGAAACTTCACTAATGGTATAACAATGACGGCTCATTATTTTGCCTGGCAGATCGAATGACATGCTTGCTTTTGTGTTGCTGATAATTCAAAGTTTGATTTATCAGACCACAGAATTTCCTGCCACTTTTGTTGAGATCAGAAAAGATGTTCTTTGGATCACTGTATCCATTTCTTTCGATGTGCTGTTAGCAAAGGTTTTTCACGTGCTGCATAGAACTGGAAATGCATTTCTTGCAGTCTCCTGCATGTTGTCGAAACAGATACAACTGGAAAGAATGTATCATTCCATATTATAGTTACACTCAATATCTGTGGCACGGAGGTTGTTTTTTACAATTATTTTAAAACTCCTATCATCAACTTTTAAAGTTTTTTGCTGATGTCCAGAAGCTTTGTTAGGTATAACATGGCTGTAGTTAGTGTAACAAACAATAATCTGGTACACTGTTGTCTTGCTTAGCATTAGCTCTTCTAATAGCACTTCAGACATGCCAAACTTTGTTTAGCAATGATAGCATTCCTTAAATCTGAAACAGCTTTTCTGCTGGTCATTGTAGACAGAATGCAAAGGTTCATAAATAAAACTAAAAAAAAGCATCTTATATCATTCATATGATTACTGCAGGCTAAAGTGAGGCTAAAATAATCTGTTGTTTCAGAAATACTGCAATAGTAACATTATTTAAATGCAAATTATCAGCTGGTCTATGTTCAATGACATGCATTGACATGGGTGATTTTTGATGTCTATGACTCAAGTTTGACTGGCTCAATTTTGTTAAACTTTCAAGATATACAGTAATTAATCTTTATTTTTGCTAGATATTTGTTTTAAATTATGTAAAACATTCATGCAATGAATCAAAGCTTTTTTTTTTTTTTTAACCTATTTATTGGATGACATGTTAATTAAGCTGGCCTGGTCTAAGTTCATCGGTTACTACTGTAAAGCTTAGTTCACACTGAGCGCGATTCGCTGGCGAAAGCAAATAACACATCAGACATGGCGTTTCTGGCAAATTTTACCATTTTGCTAATCACTTCGAAGTTCGGAACTGTCGAGCTTTTTTGCTAACGAAAAATTTTTGCCACCAATCGTATTCCTGCTAGTTGTCATGTGGTTATTGTTTTCAAGATGGCTACAGAAACTTCCTACACAATAGAGTAAATGTTGTAATTACGGATTTTTAAAATTCCTCTCACCCAGCATCATTTTCTTTTTGACGTATCTTTCTTTCTCAATAAATAAACAAACTTGGTTAATGACAGAATATCGGAAGCGGCCATTTTGTTTTTCGAGATGACGTTTTCTCTTGCAAATAATTGGCTCCTTAAAATTCGCAAATTGCTTTTGGTTGTAAGGTCAATTTCACTAAGCGAATAAAAATCGCTTTTCACATTTGCTTTTGCTATTCGCTCAGAGTGAACTAAGCTTAAATAATCACGTTTTGAACAATCTGGCCATTTTGCAAAACTAATAACAGTGAAAATTGACTTTTAACACTTAGTAAATGAGACAGCCATAATTTAATTCCTACTTTTACGAAAAATTTCTATCACCTGCATGTTGGTCTGTTTTCTTTGATGTCACATGACTAATTGTAACAGTTCTCATAAGTTTATTTTTGAGTTGTGATTAAATACCATGCAAGGAGGTGAATTGGAAAAGAAATCCTGAAAAAATTATGCT